CACTCTTTCTTGTGTGTATATGAGGCACATGTATAAGTATGTATGAACTGCTTTTAGGATTTTCCCTGTAAAGTTTTCTATGGCTTTTTTGTTCTGTTTTCCAGTCCTGAGTCACATGTTGCTTTTGGTTGTCATGGTATGATTCTAGTCCCCTGTAACCCAGATTGCTTCCCCCCTGCCTTATTCTATATCATGACACTGATGTTTCTGAAGAGTCCAGGCCAGAAAAAGAAGAGTTACTCAAAACATGAGGCTGCCAGTGGACAGCCCACAGGCCAGATACAGCCAGGTATAGATATGTGTGTTTGGTCTGTATTGTATATGAAAACTTTAATTTGTTACTTGTATTTAAACATGAGATTTCTGGCAACACTGAGCTCACATTCCACATTAATGTGGATGACACATGAGTAGCAAGCCTTCCTTTTTAGTATTTGTCAGCTTTTACAGTATTCAGCACACCTGGAACTATGGAACTAAAGAGGTGCTTTTTCGTGATAATGTTATTTTAGATAGCACAGTCACACTGACAGAACACTAAATCACGTGGAATTATGCAGCAATAAAATTATTTCCTTGTCAGATCTTCAATCCACATTCCTCCAAAGACAAAGTCTTTCTCTGAGTTGAAACTGGTATTTAGTGCTCCGTAACAGTCACTGATTTCCCTGACAGAGGGATGCTGGCCCTAGACTGAGATCACTGTTTTGTTAGAATTTAATAGCATTGTTTTGTTTTCATTATACTTACTGGTACAGTTACCTTCTGATTATGGCAGGTAATATTGGTAAGTAAGTAATTGTATGTGTTGTGTATAAATGATTGTAGCAGTATTACATGTCTGGTAATAGATCTCATTTATTGAGTACCTGTTATGTGACATATACTTTCCTTAGATTTTTCTCCTTTAGTCATAAAAGTTGATGAGCTAGAAACTATTTATTAAACCCGTTTTTGCATATGAAGAAACTGAGTCTCAGAGAGGTAAATTGATGTGCTTGGCTAGTCAGAGTAGTAGTTGTGCTGTTCCATGAGATAACCTGTGAGGCCATCTCAGCCTTTTAGCCTTGATGATCCTGTTAATATCAACACCTGGAGGAAGGTGGCATCACATGGCTTTACACCTGACATAGTAGAGCCATCAAGGCAGGTGACAGTCTTGTGGGTGCGGCTGGGAGAATAGGCACCATGATTTAGATACCTGTTTTTGCGTAAATTATAGAATGTATTTTCAAAACAATGCTGCCTCAGAAAACTTGGCAACTGTGCTGTATATGTGGAGATGCAAAGCTGAATGGCCACAGGATAGCATTTGTTTCAGACAGCCCTTAGGTTTCTGCTTGAATGTGGGGAATAGTCTGATGTGGGGACTTCTACCATCTACCATGTAGTCACCAAGATAAGCATAGGTTTTTTTCCCCCCACAAATGTAGAAGCCATCTTTTCTCGTTGTGTACTCCCTGCAGGAACAGCTTTCTCAAGTCCTCGATGCCATGTTTGAAAGGACAGTCAAAGTTGATGAGCATGTCATTGACCAAGGAGATGATGGGGACAACTTTTATGTCATTGAACGGTAGGAGATGGAGTTTTGCAATTGCACGGCTGTACTTAATAAGATTCATAATTCAGGGCAAGTGCTTTACCCTATGCTTTGTTCAGCCCAGACAGGACTTAGGACCATGTAAACAAGCTTCTCAAAGCTTGCTCCTCTCTGTCCACAGCCTGCCTTTCTCTATCTACTGCTGCCCTGAGTCCTCAGTACAACCCATACTTGGGTTGCCACTATCTACAATTAGGTGAAATGTGCAAGATATGCTTTATAAACATGTTATTTGCAAGTGTTCAAGTGAATTGATTTTCTAAAGAATAACCGTAACACTTTATTGTCATCTGGATCATTCAATCCTAGCCTAATTTTACACATGAGTATACTGCCTCAACCTCCATACCTCTGGCCTCTTCTGGCTCTGTTCCAGGTATAAATCATGTTGGGAAACATGAAATATGTGGGTTTGACCTGTTTGCCCTGGTGTGTCCTAACCTCTTGAGCTATTAGTATCACCTGGAGAACTCCTTCTGACCCCCTCCTCAGTCCTGAAAGGAACACCCTCACCAGAGTTTAAGATCAGTAAGATGTTGCTTCACCCAATATCTTCCATTAATTATTTTTCATTTTTTCTTTTGAAGTAATTTCAGAGTTATAGAAACGTTACACAAATAGTACAAAAAATTCTTATAAACCTGGGTTCCCCAGATTTATGTTTTACCACATTAGCTTTATTGTTTGAAAGTAAGTTGCAGGTATAAGCCCTTTTACCTCTGAATACTTCAGTGTATGTTTCCTAAAAATAGAATATTCTCTTACATAAGCAGAGATCAATTGAAAAAATCAGATATTAACATTTTATACAGTACTCTCATCTACTCTGCAGACCTTATTCATTTTTTTCCAATTGCTTTCCTGATTTTTAAGATTTTTAAGGGTCTTTTCATTTTGATCAAGTAGCTGTACTAGATTCAGCTGGTCCCCTGTCTCGTCGAGCCTTTTGCTCATTCAGGAAAGTGTTCAAGAATGTACTACTTGGACTTCCCTGGTGGCGCAGTGGTTAAGAATCCGCCCGCAAATGTAGGGGACACAGGTTCGAGCCCTGGTCCAGGAAGATCCCACATGCCGCGGAGCACCTAAGCCCGACTTAGCACCACAACTACTGAGCCCACGCACCACAACTAGTGAAGCCCGCGCGCCTAGAGCTTGCTCTCCGCAACAAGAGAAGCCACCGCAATGAGAAGCCTGCACACCGCAACGAAGAGTAGCTCCTGCTCGCTGCAACTAGAGAAAGCCCGCGCACAGCAAAGAAGACCCAATGCAGCCAAAAATAAATAAGTAATTGATTAATTTAAAAAAAATAAACGTTAAAAAAAAAAAGAACGTACTCCTTGGGTAACCTTTTGGCCCTTGATACTGTGACAGATGATTACAGTTAGGGTTAGGAAAGAAATGTTTTATTTAAAGAGTAAAGATGATACAGATAATGTCTTCTTAAAGACTGTTTTATCTATTATGCTCATGCTTCCTTCATAGAATTCTGTAAGTAGTGACAGAATAATTTTTTTAAGTTACATCACCACTTCCAACAGCCACCTTTCCCCCTTGCTCTGCCGTGTGCTCCCTCACCAAGACAGGAATCCCAGTAGGTACCTGCAGTCTGGGAAATAAGCATTTACCTGCACATATCCATAGCTTATAGGTTGAAATGCCTGTCTACAAAGGGAATGATTTGTTATTACACATGTAAATGAGAGGTATTATCTTTTGCATGCATTGAAAGTGGTTGTTAATAAATTATTAAAAAGATATTGTTCCTGACCTCAAAAAACTCATTTTCTAGTTGGAGAGACTAGAAATAGATAACTATTACATAATTAAATAGATAATTGTTACATAATTTGATGGTAACAGCAGTGAGAAAAATATGTCCCATTATTTGGAAGAGGACCGAAGTGAGAGAGGTTAGGAAAGACTGTTTTGTGGCTTCCTGAAATTATTTGTGTTGTTCCCAAAATTAAGTTGCTAGTGTCTCCTGGAAGAGAGACTAAAAACACGTAAGTGAATTTACACTGAGTTCCATTATTCCCCTCATGTCCTTGTTACTTTTGCCTTGTCCACCAGGTCAAATACAGGTCAGCTTACCTATTCAGTGGTGAGCTCCCTTGAGAGCAGGGTTGGTACTGTGTACCTGATATTTGAGTGATTGGCTTTATTGTTTGCTTCTTGTGTAACATATGATACCTAATGATTTTTATCAGACAAGTGGAGGCTCTTTGTAGGAAACTTAGGGAAAAAAAAAAAACAGGAAAGAAAGTAATTTAGCCCTAATTTCATCCCCAGAGTATAGTCTTCTTCTTTTTTTTTTTTTTCCTATGCTTTACTGTTAGGTCAGATCCATTACCCCAAATTTGGTTCAGATATTGAGACTGATCATACCACACACACAACTAAGAGGGTATGAAAAGATTTATCACTCACATAATGAGGCTTTTAAGGGAGAACAGGCCAGGTTCCCAAGAGGTCCAAAAATGACTTAAGACAGCAGGGAGGGGTGACTGGCTTGGCGTTTCACGGTGGTTAGAGGGTGGCTGAGGTCAGAGTACTCTTATATATGAGCAGGCTCTAGTTTTGTTTGAATATCCTATCAGTGCCAAATAAGGGAGCACCCAGGTTTTCTTCTCAGCTTTCCCAGATGTGAGACAGAAGAGGAAGAAGGATTGGGAGTGAGTGGTAGGGCTTGAAAGCTGTTAACAAACATGTAAAATGTAGTTAACTCTTTATTACATTTATATGTATACTTTTTATGTTGGGTCATATACATTGACTTGATTTTTAAAATCTATTTGAAGTAGTTTGACATGGGATACAATATTATTCTATGTCATGATTTATATTGACTGCATAATATGAATATAGACATATATTTGACCTATCCCCTATTGTTAGCAGATTAAATTGTGGGTTTTGTTCTTATAAATATTACCGGTGAGCATCCCTGCAGTTAAATATTTTCCAGTATCTTTGATTATCTCCTTCAGAATGCCTAGAAATAGAACTGCTATGTCAAAGGGTCTCTTTAAGGAATTTGTTATGTTGCTAATTATCTTTCAGAAACTTTAAAACATTTACATTTGCTTCAGTGGTGTATTGAGAGTGCCTGTTTCTCCAAATGTTTGTCCATTCTGAATATTTTTCTTTAGTAGTTATTAACAATCAATAGATAGAGAATTGTATCATTTTTTTCTTTATTTTAATCAGTTCTACATCCTAGTTTTCAACAGACTACAAAAGAAAACCCATACAATCATTTCGATAGCTGCAGGAAAAGCATTTGACAAAATTCAACACCTTTCCATGATAAAAACTCTCAGCAAACTAGGAACAGAAGGGACTTTTCTCCAACCTGATTAAAGGCATTTATAAAAAAAAAAACCCTATAGCTAACCTCATACTTAATGGTAAAAGATTGAATGTTTTCCCTTTAAGATGGAGAACCAGACAAGCAAAGCATATCTCCTCTCACCACTTCAGTGCAGTATTATACTGTAGGTCCTAACCAACGCAATAAAGCAAAGAAGAAAGATGGAGTGAGGGGGGAAGGACTGACGGGAGGGAAGAAGGGCATACAGATTGGAAAGGAAGAAATAAAGCCGCTTTGTCTTTGTTTGCAGATGACATGATCCTCTAGAAAATGCCAAGTTCACTCATTAAAATTAATAAATGAGTTTAGCAAGGTCACAGAATACAAAGTCAAAATGCAAAAATCTATTATATTTCTATATACTAGCAGAAATCTGTTGGAATTCCCCAATAAGAGCAACCTTCTATTCATGTACACCTGCCCATTATAAGTAAAATTGTTTCTTGTTATATTTCCAGGGGAACCTATGATATTTTAGTAACAAAAGATAATCAAACCCGCTCTGTTGGTCAGTATGACAACCATGGCAGTTTTGGAGAACTAGCTCTGATGTACAACACCCCGAGAGCTGCTACCATTGTCGCTACTTCAGAAGGCTCCCTTTGGGGACTGGTGAGTTAGAGAAATGGTTCTCCTTGCATAGCATGGTATTAATTCCCCTTACTTCTGAGTCTCTGTCCTTGGGCTGTTGGTTCACACTATATTTTATAGCCAATTATCTGAAAGACATTGTGGAAGGTTTTGTACCAGTGTGTTTTTCCATTTCTCTGAAGTGATTTATCAACAAACCATTTATTCCAAATTACATAGAAAAGACTGGATCTTGTGACCTTGCAGTGTGTCAGCTCTTACTACATTTTCCATTTATGTTTTTATCAGACAAGTAGAGAGAGGCGGGATAACTCTGTACAAGAGACAGCCTAGAAAAATAAGTGTCATTGAAAGCTCTGCCAACCGTGTTTTCCATCTCTATCTATCCTAGGACTAACTTTCCTCTGTGTTTGGCCATCTATTTATCCGTTGGTCCATGCCAAAATTCAATAGATTTAGATGACTAGAAAGGCTGATAGCCATATTCTGGGAAACAGAACTTTCCTAGAATGTCTTAGGCACAGTACTACTATGATCCTATCCTCTATTATACGTGACCCCCCTTGCTTCCTTCATTATCAAGCCTTCAAAATATATAATTCTCTTCCTTCTTAAACAAAACAATCATCTTCTTATACAGATTCCAACTTTCACTTTTAAAATGTTCACATCTATGATAATTTGTTTCCATTTACCCTACAAGCAGAATTAAATATATACCTTGGAATTATCAACATGTTTCCTCAAATAAAATCACATTTTAAAGACATGCTAGAGCACTTTATTGTGCTATACTAATGTAGAATTAAGAATGCCCCTGAGGCAGGACAGGAATAAAGACGAAGACATAGAGAATGGACTTGAGGACACCGGGAAGGGGAAGGGTAAGCTGGGACGAAGTGAGAGAATGGCATGGACTTATAAACACTACCAAATGTAAAATAGATAGCTAGTGGGAAGCAGCTGCGTCGCATGGGGAGATCAGCTCAGTGCTCTGTGACCACCTAGAGGGGTGGAATAGGGAGGATGGGAGGGAGACACAAGAGGGAGGAGATATGGGGATATATGTATATGTACAGCTGATTTACTTTGTTATAAAGCAGAAATTAACACACATTGTAAAGCAATTATACTCCAATAAAGATGTTTAAAAAAAAAAAAAGAATACCTTAAAAACAAAAATCCGCCTGCCAGTGCCTGGGACACAGGTTCGGACACACAGACTCAGCGGCCATGGCTCACAGGCCTAGATGCTCCACGGCATGTGGGATCTTCCCAGACCGGGGCACGAACCCGTGTCCCCTGCATCAGCAGGCGGACTCTCAACCACTGCGCCACCAGGGAAGCCCCTAACACACCATTTTAAAGCAGTTATACTCCAATAAAGATGTTAAAAAAAAAAAGAAAAAGAATGCCCGTGAGAGAGACTTCCCTGGCAGCCCAGTGGTTAAGACTCCTCACTTCCAGAACAGGGGACTTAGGTTCAGTCCCTGATCGGGGAACTAGGATCCCACATGTGGTGCGGCCCCCAAAAAAAAAAAAAAAAAAAAAAAAGATTGCCCCTGAGAGATGAGAGATACATTGGTTTAAGAATACATCACACACTTGGGAAGCCAGTGCTTAAAATACTCAAGGTAGATCAATAAATAATGGGGGAAAATAAACTCAGTTTTAAAATACATTAATGCCAACTTCTGGTCCAGGCCAAGATGGAATAGCCCCATTCCTCACTAGCCTTCCCTCTTAAAAGTAGAAAACTCTGGATATCTTACTACAGACAAACATAGGAGACCCTGAAAGATGGAAAGGGGAAGGTGGACTGGCTAGGAGCTAGGGATTTCAGGAATTAAGGAAGGACATAACAGTGAGTTCGCCAGGTTTTCTTATTAATTCCCATACATCCCAGATAGGGTGCTGGAAAAACCTACAGCCCAGATCCACCAACAGGTACACGTAAAAATAGCCCCAAGAAAAGTCGGCTCCCTTTAGCCAAAGGACAAGGAAAAGGACAGCTTGGCAGAATAGAAAACCTTTTATGATAATGCCACACCCTATTCCTGCCAAATACCAAAGGAAAAACTGCTTCTACCTCCCCACACTGTCACTGGGGCCAGCAGAAAACTGGACTTACAACCTCATCCAGCAGCAAAGAGGCAAAATGGGGTGATGTGTGGTGTTACTAGTTGGCACTCCACTTCCCCTGCCAGAGTAGTGTCAGTAGAGTCCAGAGGGGAGCTGAACATGCACTCCCACACATACAGGCACCCTATATATAGACAGGGTGACTGCCTGCAAAAAAAGAAGATGAAATTGGATACAGTTTTACAACATAATACCCAAAATGTCCAGGATACAATAGAAAATCACTTGTTAGACCAAGAACAAAGAAATTCTCAATCTGAATTAGAAAAGGCAATCGAAAGATGTCAATACCGGGCTTCCCTGGTGGCGCAGTGGTTGAGAGTCTGCCTGCCGATGCAGGGGACATGGGTTCGTGCCCCAGTCCGGGATGATCCCACATGCCGCGGAGCGGCTGGGCCCATGAGCCATGGCCGTTGAGCCTGCGCATCCGGAGCCTGTGCTCCGCAATGGGAGAGGCCACAACAGTGAGAGGCCCGCGTACTACAAAAAAAAAAAAAAAAAAAAAAAGATGTCAATACCAAGATGACACAGATATTGGAATTAGCTGACAATGATTTTAAAGCAGCCATCATAAAAATCCTTCAACAAGCAATTATGAACACACTAGAAACAAAGGGAAAAAAATAGAAGGTCTCAGTGGAGAAATAGAAGACAGAAAGAAGATCCAAATGGAAATTTTAAAACTGGAAAATACAATAACCAAAATAAAAACTCACTGGTTGGGCTCAATGGCAGAATGAATATAAGGGAGGAAAGAATCAGTGAACTTGAAGATAGAACAATAGAAATTACCCAGTCTGAACAAGAGAAAGAAAATAGACTGAAATGAACAGAGCCTGTGGACTAATAACAAAAGGTACAGTATTTGTGTCATCAGAGTCCCAGAAGGAGAGGAGAAAGAATATAGAGCTAAAAAATTATTCAAGGAAATAATAGTTGGAGAATTCCCAAATTTGGTGAAAGATAATAAACCTACAGATTCAAGAAGCTGAGTGAACTTCAAATTAGATAAACCCAAAGAAATCTATGCCAAAACACATCAGAATCAAACTTTAGAAAACTAAAGACAGGAATAAATTTGAAAGCAACTAGAGAGAAACAATGCTTTACCTACAGAGGAAAAACAATTTGAATGACACCAGATTTCCTATCCATGAAGGCCAGAAGGAAGTAGCAGAGCATTTTTCAATTGCTGAAAGAAAAGAACTGTCAACTCAGAATTCTATACCTAGTGAGAATATCCTTCAGGAATGAAGATATTCTCAGATGAAACAAAACTGAGACTTTGTCACCTGCAGAAGTGATAAAAGAAAGAAATTTGGGGCTTCCCTGGTGGCGCAGTGGTTGAGAGTCCACCTGCCGATGCGGGGGA